TAAACCGCCACGCCGCGCCACACCCCGCGCACCAGAGCGGCGTGCTGCCGGGCGCGGCGCGGAGCCCAGGATGTCAGATCAGAGATGAGCGAGACTGGACAAAGGCCTCGCGATGCGAGGGGAGGGGCCTGGATCGAACCCGCACCGCCCCGCTCAGCCACGCCTGGCCTATCCAGTGCGATCGCCAACAGCTGATCGCCGCGCCGTCTGGCCGACTTTGCTATGGCCGGGGCGCCGCCGCGGCCTTATGAGTTGTATCTGTGCGATTTGTATTGTCTGTCAACGATCGCGCGCATGTGTGTATGGTGTGTGTGTGTCCGTGAGTGTGTCCGTGTGCGTATGTATGTATGTTTTTGTGTTTGTCGTGCATGTGCGTGGGCGAGAGTGTGCTAGTATAAATGTCTGTTGTATAAACGTTTGGTTGAATGTAAAATTAAAATAATAGAAAACACGTTGGTAAACTAGTGAGCCAAGTGCATGTAAAACTAGAACTAAGAAAACCCTGTGCCACATTAATGTTACCATAAGGAGTAGAACTGGTGTGCGTAAGTTTAGAGGAAGGCTAATAGTTTTCCAATGAACTATCTCTAATTAATAAATGCCGGAGTATGATTGAAGTTGTCCAATGGGATGAGATGTTATTTTTAAGTTAGTCAAGAGTTGTTATTTATTCATTCGTTTGTTTAAGTTATATTTTCATTACTTATTTATTTATTTACATTTATTTAATAATTATTTATTCACACAACCTATTTATTTGATTGCATTTGTATGTTTCTCACGTGCGTCCGGAAGAAATAAAAGTCTTTATAACTAATCGTATAGTTTTACTGTGCGCCTCTAAACCACGGCATGTCTCCTGCAAGCAGCGAGTACACCAGAGGGCGAAAGCCTTTTGCAGCACTGGCTGCTACCGCATGGTTACCCGTCCACACATACAACTACTAATGACCTTGAGAACAAATGAAACGCACTTAATTACACTTAATCCCACTCCACTGCAGTTTGCCCGAGGGACTGGACACACATGAAAGTCCTGAATTCCGCACGATCGTGGTGTGGTGCGTCGCAGAATGATTGTTGGGGGACTAGGGGCCGGCCGGGGCGGCGGGGCGCTCGGGGGACCTGATTGTCGTCCCCACAGGGAGCAGCCCCGCCAGGGCCCTGGCCCCCCTGGGCCACGCCGTTCTCGCCCACTCCTCTTCAACCAGACCCCGACCCGACACCCCGACTCGTCGACAACACCGGCCTCAGGACCGTCCAGCTCAGTGCAACACAAGTTTTGGTTGGGGAAACTTCACGAAAGAAGGGGTAAGGAAATGGGTCATCCACCGGATTTTGTCGTCTATGAGAGGACTGGAAAGGTCTCATCCCGGATGAGGCGCGCGTTCGCACCTCAGACACGGCACGATGACGACGGTGGCACGAGCCCCGGGCACGCGGCCGGCGAAACACCTGTCAAGCGTGAGCCCCGCCCGGAGCTGGCGCAGGGGCAGCAGGAGCAGGGGCCTGAGGGGCCGCGGCCGGGCGCGCGCGTGCCGTCCAGACCGAGGTCCAGACCGCCCCCCGGGGCCGGACTAGCAGACTGGACCAGGCATGGAGGCGGACTGGCCGGCCGACTGTCGCTTCCCGCAGCTCTCCAGGTGCGGACAGGACAGGGTCAGGGTCGCGTGCGTGCGTGCGACGCGGAGCTCGATGTTGTGATGGACAGGCGCTGTCCCCAGGAGGCGCTGCCGCTGCGAGTCCAAGGCGTCGTCGCGATGGCGGTCCCGACCGTCGCGCCACTGCCCCCGCAGCTGGGTGGTGTCGCCGGCGCAGGGGGTGGTGCAGGGCGGCGTGGGGATGGGGGGCGGCGCCGGCGTGGGCTGCGGCTTGGGGGTGTGTCCGCGGCCCGCCTCGGCGGACCCGGGCCCGCGTCCCCACGTCAGCCGCAGGCCCTCCACCGCCCCCGCCAGCGGCGCGCACTCTGCCCCGACTCGCTCCGGGTCGGTGTCGGGTGGACGTCGGCGCACCGCGGTGCTCGGGCCCACCCCCATGGTGCCCGTGCCTCCCGTGCTGCCCGAGTACCCCGAGGAGCAGCTTGAATCCTGGACGCTGGACAACACTCCACTCAAGGGCGCGATGGAGAGCCCGAATGTCTGCGCGGTGGCTCGCGGTCGGATGTGGCACGGCGAGGACGGTGGCCGAGGGGCCGCCCCCGTGGACGACGATGCCGTCGACAACCTGCGAGAGGCGCGGGTCGTTGACAACTCGTGGTCCAGACCGCCACCCGCGGCGACACCCCGTGTCACCGCGCACCGCCCACGCCCACCAACCATGGACGACGGAAGCGTCCGCAGCAGCGTGATCACGGCGGCCTCGGCTGCGTGCAGCAGTATCGCCACCAGCAGCAGCACCCCCATCACCAGCAGGACCAACAGCGGCACCGTCACGGCCACCTCGGGCACGGCGCCCACCACCGCGAGCAGCCAGGCCACCAGCCGCACGGCCAGCCTCGAGCACCCCTATCCATATCACACCACCGTGCCAGAGACCGTCCTGGAATGCATCGACGACCTCGACTCCCTGGATCCCCTGGCTGTGAAGACGTTCCACGATGACTCCCAAGGCAGCGACATTGTCCTACCAGGTAATTACCCCTCAGCGTCGCAGCATACCACCCGACGCCTCGAAGGCAGGCATGTCATCCAACCTCCAGCCTGAGATGCAGGTTGGGTGGCCTATCCTTCAGGTGTCGGCTTGTCCTCATGGTTGTTCCTATCCCGCAATCTAGAGTCCTACTTGGACCCTACCGCCGGCGAGTGTGCTGGTGAGTTTGCCTCTCGCCACGGCGCCTAACGGCCCGGGCAAATAGGCAACCCGCCCGCATGCGCGCAATGCGGTACAGTCTATGTAAGTGGCCGAATACCCACACGACAGTGCGCGCGGAGGCTGGCACGGACCCCGTCGCGGAGCTGGACGAGGGCCTGCAGGGCCTGTACCAGCTGTCCACCCCGGTGGGCGAGAGGGCGAGGAAGCGGCGTAAGGACGCCAGGAGGCGGCCGCCGGCCCGCTACCGGGTGCCGCTGTATGAGTACCACCCGACGCTCCAGGCGCTGCAGGGGTCAGTCCACGAACAGCTCCGTCGGAAGCTCGGACAGCGGGCAGCTAAACTGATGCACTGTCAGGAGGCGCTCGCGGAGCGAGGGCGGCACCCTGGACGCCGAGGGGGCCGTCGCGGGCGGGGGCGGCGCCCGCCAGCCCAGGGTCGCGGCGGAGACTAGGCGCAGGCGCGTGGATCGCCTCGCCCAACCAAACTATCGTCACGATAGCAGGATGCGCAAGGCAGAAGTGCGGCCGAATCTCTCCGTGGGACCGGTAAGTACCCCCGGGCTGTCCCACAGCTCACCCCCGTCAGCCCCCACCTCACCCCCAGCTCCTCCATCGCCCAGGACCCGATCTGGCCCATCTCCAAGGCGGCCCTGCGCGCCTCGCCCACCACCAGGGTGTCTATGCTGTCCATGGCACCCGCGCGGAGGTCAGAGTTGCACGCCAACGTCAGCGTCAGTCGGTAAGCGCGCGGGTCACAGGGGGAAGGTGCTCGTCGTGGGGAGGCTCGGTGTGGCTAACATGGCGCCACCCGCGTCCAGGTCGCGCGCCGCGCACGCCAGCGGCAGCGTCACGTCGAGGCTGAGCGCGAGGCTCGAGGCGCTGTCCAAGCCCAGACTCTCGTACGTGCCGGCCCCGTGAACATGAGGACCTCGGTGGGGTAGAGGGAGGCTAACCCCGCTGAGTGTTCCAGGCGGGCGCCGGCGCCGGGGGAGGGGCCGAGCGCGGCGGGCAGCCAGCGGCGCCTCGTGACGGACGCGGAGTGGCGGCGCCACAAGGACTGGCTGCGGGTCAACGCCCAGCCTCGCAGGGACCACTCTCTGGACCAGGTGGGTCAGCAGCAGCCCCATCCCGTACCCTCTGCTCGACCACGACCCCCCCCCCCCCACAACCACCGTCTCTTTGGCCCTGCAGCAGCGCGGCGTGCGGCGCGGCCGCTCGGCCAGCCTCCGGCGTCTGCTGCCACGCCTGCGCGTCCTCGCCAAACCATCTCACCGGTCGGTAGTCAAGACCAGCGAACCGCAACTCAAAACGGTGCGTTAAAAAGTGTTTCGTGCCTTGACAAAGAAGAAATCCCGAGGTCTCATGTTTACACCCTCTGCACTGTTAATCTGCACCATTTATCTCTCTACAGGTGTCACAAGGAGCCCTGCGATACCAAGCCTCAGAGCGTATAATTCGACTGTCCCAACCACTGCAAAGACGTCTATCTGTCAGTAGGTAGGAAATGTCACAACATCCAACCGTGATTGGACCAAGAGGACTGAAATGTTTTGATACAGGAGGGGGGAAAGAAAAACGTGGGATAAAGATTTTCTTTTTTATTACAATTCATTATACATGTTTAACTTCCTGATATCAGTACTGGTCTCGTCAGTATAAGACCAATAAATGGGAAAAAAACAATGATCAACAGATAGAAAGAAAAAATGGGGAGGGGGGTGGGAAAACCATTAACAAGGCTAAAGGTCTAAAAAAAGGGGGGGCATAGGGAAAGGGGACAATTAACGACAAAAAGTCAAAAACAATTATCTGTGTCTCAAAAAGGGAAAAAAATTACACATCCATCAAATTTGGTAATTTATTAAAATCCTAAACACGAGTTTGATTCCTACTCCTCATTAGTTACTGTATATACTTACATTAATGCATAATATTTACAATGATGATGCTTACTTACAAAGTCCACTAACAAAACACACCAGATAAACTCTATACACATTCAAAAGAGCTTTTTCAATTGTCTAATTAAAAAGAGCGCTCATAGAGATTTGAATGGCAATAGCATCAAATGAAAATGGAACAGCCTAACCATACATTCCTCTGATGCCATTACATTTCTAGCCATGTGCCTTTAAGTAAACTTAACCTAGGATGATGACATGATAAATTAGCTAACATGACTGGAGATCACTTCAGCCAGTAGCAGTGTAAAGACCACCATTCTGAAATATAAAACATGATTTAATGGTGATTTGAGACCAGACACATTGCTAGACAAAGATGCATCATGTTGGAAACCACAGTACAGGTTTATCACAGCCATAGTTTTGCTAGCCTCAAATAAACAACATTAAATCGCAATGTTGTGGGAGAGAGGCAAAAGCCAAATTAGCAGAACAGAACAATAGTTGACTTTTCCTCACAGATATTTTTAATTTGTGGTACATGCGAGGAGACTGCAAATGGCAGATATCTGGTTTTCCATGTCAGTTAGTGGAGATGGTGAGATATTTACAAAAGCCAGCTACTAAATTTGCTCAAACATTAGCTGTCCCCAAACCTAACTGTTTATATAACAAATATTAAGGGCAACCAATACAGAAAGGAAATCTCCTATCACGGGTCATACCTTTAACTGTTCTAGGCCACACTTAGTTCTTATCCATTACTTATCATGTTTGTTTTGTTTTTTTAAAAGAGAAGTCAAAAGCAGGGACAACCCATACGGGTGTTTCACACCACACCCACACAGAAATTAAATCATAAATAGAACAGGACCCTTGGGCAAATGTTTCATGTCTATTGATTGAAGCTCCAGCAGATAAATCCTCAACTTTGTACAGAGGTGGGAATTGACTTGCCAGCTTCACACAATGCAATCTTTCTCCCTCATGACACTGAAGTCGAAGGCAAACATTTGCTCATGACCAGATTGGAGGGTGCATTAAAACCTATATAATAAAAAATACTCATAGAAAAAAACACATAAATGGACAAAGTGCAAAGTTAATGTTGAAACCACATGTTTGAACACTCTAGATTAGCCCATCCTACAGATATTGCACATCAATTATCCAGTTACAGTACAGCAATAACTTAACTTGGCTCATTGTAAAGTAAAATTCAGTGAAATAAAAATAACAAGCTATTTTTACTGTACAAAGAGACTGCAGTCGATTGCAGAGCTTGTTCATTGACATGACTTAATAATTAAGGTCATAATAGAACATAAGGTAATAGCATCCTCCAATTAAGTTTGTCAGGAGTAAAAAGAATTTCTTTGTTAGAAACACAAAGTAGCATTCAGTAACACAGTAATGTATGTGCTAATTACTATGATAATATGAAGCTTGGCAGTAAATTCAGTCATGTAGGGGAATATCTCCATGGCAGAAGTTTATCTATTTGTCTACAAAGAAAAATGGGATGCAACTTTTATGCAAATCCATGTACTCTCCATCAAAGGTAAAAATGGAAAACAATTAATGGAAAGATTTAAATAAAGGATGGTAAACTGAATTGGGAAAGCTTGCGCATAAAGAAAAGTCTGTTTCAGAATACCTCACTATTGTCAAATTAAAGAGAGTCAGGAATAGACATTCTTACTTTGTTCAATTTAGGGACAGTTTATTACTTTAAAAGAGACACATGTACATTGTGGAAGTGTGCTTAAGAAGTGATTATTTCTCAATGAATCGGTAAATCTAAGCAAGTTTTAAAAACGACAACAGATTTCTAGCAGTATGAATTGAATTGCCAGAAGTTGATAGCAATAAATCAATGCATTCAAATGCCTAAAGTGTTGCCTTTGTCGCTTTACTTATCAGAATGTAGCAAGCATCTCAAAAAAATTTGAGTGGTCATGGGGAGCATTTTATAAGAATTTAAGACACTAACATCCAAAACAAAGGTGTTTATACCCTCACTGAAACATCAATGCGGATATGAAATCACCTTAAACGTATAAAAAATAAATTAAGTGGTTGAATTAGTTTCTTAGAGAATCTGATTCATGTTCAGAAAACAAAAATAATCGTCATTCATTAAACATGAATGACAGGGACAATGCTCAACTTAAAGTTAATTAACATCAACATGAAAACAAAAATCATGTATATGAAACCAGAGTCCCATGCTTTTTATGTCCATTGAAACGGAAAGATTTTGGAGGGATTAATCTGTAATATACAAAATGTCAAACTAAGATACGGCAAAGCAAAGGTCTTCTGAAACTCAATATTATTTAAAAACTAGGGAAATTGAAGTTCTTGACTGACACACTCCTTCCACAGTTGAATATGTCCTTTCTCTCAACTATCTTCGTTCAAAGAACCACATGATGATGGATGAACGGGGAAGGAAGAGGATCATCTGATGCAGCTGATCATGTCAAGTTTGTGAAGATGATTTGAGGTGAACTAAACATGCCACGGCAATTAGTTGACTGTTATCCTAGCGATTTCCTGTAAAACAAAATAAAGCGAACATAAGAATCTGAATCTGAAATGTGGTTAAATATGTTACATCTAATTTTCAAAGTTAAGAATGCAAGCTGTTTACAGCGACTAAGCTTATTTGTTTTACAAGCATCTGATGAATAAATTGAACTCCTTGCATAGGAATGTGACTACCACTTGCAAGGGGGTTAAACAAAACAGCATTAGAAGCAGAACTCGGTTAAATTTTGTAGACTCCATTAAAAATTTACCTTGTGCAATTTAGTTTCCATGCACTACGTCAACACTGCATCCTTGTTGCCCCCTTTAAAAAAATAAGACCAGAGCTGGAATAAGCATGCACTAACACCAGAAAAGATATGAATGGGAAGTACAGCCAGACATGCAAATGGAAATGGTATGAGATTGGAATGGGTAAAAAGGAGTGCGCCCTAATTTGCTTGATGAACGTACTGCCAGATTGAGGACATGACAACTACAGTTTTGGTTCCTGATTTGAAAATGCTGACAACAGGTATGATAGTACTGATATGTAATGAGTAACTTGTTTACTGTGGTATTTGTCACCACATGAACAGTTGGGAGGAGAAAACTTGTAGGATTTGGGCTTACCAAGGTGAAAAGGTCTGGTATGAAGGGGAAGGATCTCAGCTACCTTAGTCTTGTCGCAGCCACAGTCTTAGGATTCGTCTTATTGTGCTTCCACTTGGCTAAACCATACATGGACAAGTTAGCCATAGTACTGGGACAATCTACTAACATGCCTGGGACACAACAGGATCGGCGGGCTTCGAGAGGCCCATACCGCAGTGTGGTAGCGGTAGCAGACAGATCGGTACCCTGGTACCGCCCAACACAATTGGCCAGAGGAAGCCCGCCCTCCTTAGGTCTCTGGTAGGACAGTACATATCCTCGTTTGTTTACTAGGGAAGTTAGAGTACTGAGGCAAATACTGAGAAGTTCTTTTTACTCCAAGTTTTCACGCGAGAACACATTAACATTTCATACTACCCAGCCACGTCTTCACAATTCTTACAGAGTACAGATTCAGGGTACAAAATACGATCGAACAGAATGAGGGGGAAATAAAGAAATAGGCACATTACAAAACTACAGATAAATACCAAAATTTATAAAATACAGACTGTCGAAAGTGAAACAAAGCAGTTTTCCACATAGTCGCATGCATCACAAAACTACAGATAGAATGTACCCAAGAATGAGGCTTAACCCCAAGTTTCATTTAAAAAAAAAAAAGAAAAAAAAAAAGGAATTCACAGTAACCACACACACTCACACACACATGCGAAAACTCTGCCCCCATCACTTCTCACCTGCAGCGGCAACGTTTGTTGATGCACCGGCTACTCCTAAGTTACCGCTGACTGCCGATGATCCTCCAGCGTTGGAAGCGGTCGCAGCCTTCTGCTTCAGCATGGTCCAGTCGAATGTGTAGTCGTACTGGTGGTTGAGGGTGCGGAACAGGATACGGAAAAGCTGCCGGAGGTACATGTAGTCTGGCGCTTCTTCGAAACGAAGTCCGCGGCAGTAATTCAGATACATAGCAAACTCGGCAGGGAAGCCCTGAAATGATCGCACATAGTTCCACATTCATGTTTTATATGCTCATAAACTCTGAAGTTCTTCGCCTCAAAAACTTTTCTACCTAGCGGTAGATAGATACAATACTTACCTTACATAACACCTCAACGGGTGTTGACATTTTCTTCTCACTAATTTTCTCGTATTTTTGCTTCTTAGTTGCAGCCTGAAATGAAATATGAAAACAGTGTTAAAATCTGAGAAGAGCCAATATTTCAGTCCACCAAAAAGACAGCAACACTTACCTTGAGACCTTGCCAGGGAAGAGCTCCTCTGTTGAAGTACATCAAGACGTAGCCTAATGATTCCATGTCATCTCTGCGACTGTAAATCAAAGACACAATGTTTAAGTTCAGAATGATCACGTACATCCACGATACAGAAAGAAATTGTTCTTCACCCCCCTTACCTTTGTTCAATTCCTAGATGTGCATTGATAGAGGCGTATCGTGCGGTACCGGTGAGGTTTTTATCTTCCCGATAAATAATGTGCATCCGAGTGCGGGAATCTCGGAATTTCTTTGCGAGACCGAAATCGATGAGGAAGAGCTGTGAACAAAAGAAGGAATACAATTAAGTAAAACAACTCGACCGAGAGGCGAACAGTAGTGTACTATCTTTTTGGCACGTGGCGGCAGTGTGTTCCCTCCTCCCTGCAATGGCCTCTGCGGCCGTGACAACACCCGGTACGTACACAGAAACAACGCACGGGTTGCGACCCCTACCCCTTTGGTCACCACAACTCCAGTCCAGTCTCCAGATGAGCGTCGCGCTGGTCCGCGCCGATAAGGACAGGACAGGAGACCGACCCCCCCCCCCCTCCCCAGCCCCCTCCCGCTGGCCTCGCTGCTTAATCTTTTCCGAAACTCAGCTCCGGTTATCAGTCCGCCAACCCAAAATAAATTGGCCAGCCGAGGGCAGGGCCGATAAGCCCAAGCGCGTGCGCCGCAGAGGGAGCACAGCACGGCGACCGACTCGACAGGCCGCGGCGGCGGCGCGAACGCACCATATGCGTCTACGAAAATTAAATACGGCTTACCACTTTTACGACGACAAAGTATAAAGAATAAACCGGGCAAGCAGACCAGCAAGGTGACCGACGCCGCCACTACAGCCCGCCACCACAGTCCACTTTCAGACTAAGAAAGGGGGCGGAAGGGAGAGGGGGGGGGGGCGGTTGATAGCAAGTTGTGACGTCATCCCTAACTCATAAAAGAACAAAACACACACAGACACACACCAACCACAATGCGCGTGTAGGTGACGCATTGGGCGGTGGGCCATGGCTGTGCGGGGAACACCCTCAGCGCGGGGGTGGCGGTGAAACCAACCCCGGGGGCAGCCGTGACGTCACGGCCAGCACCGGGCCGAGCCGGCGACCCCACTGCATGTCGAACGACTTCGTGGACTTCCAGCGGCGACTGTCACGCACCGCCACGCCGCGAGGGCGTGATGCGACGCGAAGGGTTGCCCCCCCCCCTTTCCCCTTTAGCAGGGGGGTGACAGGGTAGGCAGGAGGATCATGAGAGCAGCGGGGAAAGGGGAGGCAGCGCGCTCACCGGCAAGGGAAATGGGGCACCTGCTCCCCAAACCGCCCCCGCCCCGCCCGCGGCCTGCAAGGTCCCGAGGGAGGCTCGCACGGGGACTCCCCGACGGCCGCGCCCTGCCGCCGCCACCACGCAGCCCTACGCAGCGCCACGCACGCGGGGCCCCTACCTGCCGCCCCGCCGACCGGACGGACGGACGGACGGGCCCCTTCCCTTCAAACTATTTTTAGCAATCGTGAATATTCATAGTAGTGTCGGGTCGCGGTGCACGCGACATGGGGGCGACGTTGTCGCCGTCGCCACCGTCCGTCCCCGCAGCAGTGCTCCGCCGGGCCGGGCGGCGCCCCGCCCCCGCGGCGGGCGGGCCGTTATCAGCAGCGCGGCCGCGACCACAAGCAGCCCGACCGCGACCGCCGCCCGCCTGGGTGGGACGACGCGCCGGCCACGTCACGCCGAGGCACTGCACAACGACATGCACCGTAACCAGCAGCAGCAGCGTGACGCGGCGGTCACAACTCACCCACCTCCCCGGGGCTGACGCACAGATTGACTCTGCCGCTGGGGTCAGCAGCCCTCATTATAACAACATAGCTCGCCAACGAGCGCGTCATGCCCCGCATCGCGCATCTCGGCTTTGACAAAACCTGTATTCTGAGCATACCCCCATCCCTCCACCCGCCCATACCAACCCAACCCCAACCGCCCCCTCCCTCCTCCTTTTGCCCGATCGATTCCCCTCGCCGTCTCCGTCTGCCGAACACAAACATAGTGCAGTCAATAAACATCCCTTGTTATGACTACGCCGTTAAAATGCGAATGATTCCAATCTGAAAGAAGTCTGGCCCAATCCTATGACGCAAGTCGTATTGCAAACCTCTATGTACAACGAATTGCAATAAGTAGGGCTTTCTAAGCCATCTCCGGGTTCCGATTCCTCTCTGTATATTGCACAACATGCCCCCTCACCCCCCCCCCCCCCCCCCCTACCTCACGATATCGACTCGACATACGCCACCACACTTAGTCACACCCTCTCCCACTGGTAAACAGTCAGCACTTTGG